TCCCAATCAATGTTTCTCACATCTATGTTTCTCCTCTCTCTCCTTCCTCTCTGACTAAGATCAATAAAACACATATCCTCAGGTAAGGATTTTTAAAAATACAGATAGAAATAAAGAGAAATTAGAACATTTCTCTAAAGTTTTAAAGGTAGTTCTAGCATTCAGAGTGTACGATTTGAACTTAAGAGAAACCACCAAATTGACTTTTCAGATACATGGTAACCCTCACAGCAATATACAGGGTGGGGGCAAAAGTAGTTTATAGATGTAAGTACAGAAAACACAAGAGTTTATTCTTGTATTATTATTAATTATTGTATTATTTTCCATACAAACAACTGTAATCCCACTTTTGACCCACCGAACCACTCTTCTTGCTATCAGTAATCACAAAGTAAGGTAAGGCCATTTTTTATCTTAAAACCAGTAAGTGTCTAACAATCAGAATACAAAACCCTATTACTCAGAAACTATAGAGAGCCAATGTTTAATTCTTTCTGCCACTAGAAGTGTCCCTTATTTATGTTAACTAAAATTTTTATTGGTAGTTCATCTCATGATAAAATTGCATGACATGTAATGAACTTAAAGCAGTCATATTATAGTGCAAAAAATTAAAATTTAAACGCTATCAAGATTACATAAAATTTTCAAAAGCCTCCTAATATTTTTATTTATTTATTTATTTATTTATTTATTTAAAATATGTTTTTACTGATTTTACAGAGGGCAAGGGAGAGGGAGAGAGAGATAGAAACATCAATGATGAGAGAGATCGGCTGCCTCCTGTTTACCCTCTATAGGGGATGAAGCCCGCAATCAGGGCATGTGTGCTGACCAGGAATTGAACTGTGACCTCCTGGTTCATAAGTTGATGCTCAACCACTGACCCACACAGGCCGGACAAGAGTTTCTTCTGAGACCAACTGCACATGCTCAGTGTGTTTCCCCAGGTGTCTCCCCTAAGAGCCCTGGGCTCTGAGCAGCAGAGACAAAGCCCTCTTCACCCAGTATCCCCCATGACTTCTGGGAGAAACCAGATTGGGTAAAACCTGGCAAACCTTGGAGAAAGCCCCTCTGTCAAAACCCCTAGTTTCACAGGGAGGAAGGTGCAGCTCGTGGGCTGCCGTTGCTGTATCTCCATCACGTCCACATTTCACCCCTCCTCCTGGGCTCCCTGGCCATGGGCGCTGTGGCACTAAGAGTCTTAGGTACTAAGCCTTCGGTACTGCGGAGGTGGCAGCACAGAGGGAACCCCAGAATCTCAGGCCCAGGGTCGGGCAGGTCACAGGCACATGACTGAACAGGTGAGACCCCCATTGCCCTGTGGGAGGAGCAGGGGCTTTGGAGTCAGACCTGAGAGCAGTTCTGACAAGCCTCCTAATGTTTAAATAAAAAAGTAGGGATAGTAGAATATCCTGTAAGGAAAAATTTGTACTTTAGAAAATTAATTGTAATGCTAACAGCAAGACACCCATGAAAAACACAAATTGCGTCAAAACAAGCCAGAGGAAAATCATTTGGGCAAAAAATAAAAAAGGATCCCAAGTCGAATTTATAGAAAATATTCCTTTATTAACTTTTGGTCGAGAATATGTTTGTATATTTTCAGAAAACAACTCTGAGACCATGTGGATTCCTACAACAGAGAGGAATTGACAGGACTACTCCAGCCATGAAGACAGAAGAGAAGCAGTCCAGAGATGGAAGACTCTGACCTCGCCTTGCCATACTAGCAGTCAGCAGCTCTATGTCACTGCAGATTGCTCAGCACCTGCATTACCACCATTTGTTCACCATCCAGAACTGAAATATCATTGCTGACATATACACATGAGGAACTGTTTGATTTTGAAATTGGGTCTCAAAGGAACTGTTGGCCCAGAAAGAAACTCACTATAGACTGATTCATTTGCCTTTCAGCATAACTATTATTGCTTGTCTCATTTTCAGTTCTTTTAAATGTATTTTCTACTGGATCTCACTCATCTAGGGGAAATGATGAACAACATAGACTGATGAACAAGAACAGACCCAGAGCCGAAACTGGTTTGGCTCAGTGGATAGAGCGTCAGTCTGCAGACTGCAAGGCCCCAGGTTCGATTCCGGTCAATGGCATGTACATTGGTTGCGGGCACACCCTCAGTGTGTGTGGGGGGGTTGTGCAGGAGGCAGCTGGTCGATGTTTCTCTCTCATCGATGTTTCTAGCTTTCTATCCCTCTCCCTTCCTCTCTGTAAAAAAAAAAAAACAAAAACCACAAAACAATAAAATATGTTAAAGAAAGAAAGAAAAAAAAAGAACAGACCCAGAGACAGGAGGCATGGATCAGACTGTTGGACCTCAGAAGGAGTGTAGGGGAGGGTGGGGATAAAGGAGAGAGGTCAAGCAAAGGACTTGTGTGCATACATATGAGCCTAACCAGTGGTCATAGACAAAAGGGGGGTGGGGGCATGAGTGGGGAGGGGTGGGGGATGGGAATGGTGGATGAGGACAAATATGTGATAACTTAATCAATAAAGAAATTTTAAAAAAGAGTGTCCCTTATTTAAAATGGAGTGTGTTGCCATTTAATCCAATTATATTGTATAACACTTGAGCATTAGACTATGTTATAAGGAATTTGAAGACATTTTCAGAAAATGAACAGCTCTTCCTCAGCCTGTCCAAATCACTGAGGTATACCAGTATCTTGCTCAGGATGGCATGAACTTCAACAATGTGTACAGTTCATCAATTCAGATAGATATATGCTAAAAGTACATTTATATAGAAGCTGTTATATTTGTCAGACCCAGATTTGATTCAGAATGTTTTCAGGAATATTCATGACCAGACAGGCCCTCATACTTGAGGTATCTGAACTAAAGGTTCTAATACCTTCTTAATGATGGAACTTAGTTAATATGCAGACCTTTGAGATCATATGATTCCTATTGACAATTCAAGAGACTAGAATTTGAGGAACTTAGATCACACAAATCAATCCAAGCTCTTACAGCTGAGTATATGAATAAAAATGAAGTTATCCACAGTGATATGGATTGTATGATCTTTATTATTTTATAATCCATTGAATATAAAAATCACACATATCAGATCAAACAGGAGTACCACAGTATCCTTTATTTTGTAGGTATTAATTAGTTCCTTAAATTGATATATCCAAAACTTTAGTTAGCTGCATCAGTTCTTCCAAAGAAGCTTAGGTGAAAAACAATTCTTTTTATTCATGAGCTCAAAGTCCTACTGTCTGATGTACTGTTGTACTGATATAAAAATGAACTCAATAAGCAAAGCTAATTGGACACTCATATCATAGATCTGGGGCTTCCTGTATTTTATTGGAGTTGGAGCAGTGGTTGTTTTAACCCTCTATTAATATTTTGTATTTTAAACTTAATTCTCGAACAAGATTAAACACACATTTGTTAATTATCTAAAATAAAGCCATGAAATTTAATGAAGAAATAGTGATATTAGTTCCCTACCCAAAAAGTAGAATACTTTTAAACAAACCTATAATTTTGAATGTATTTGAATTTCCAATTCCTATACTTACAAAGGTCACAATCTGATTTAAATAACCTAGCTTCTAGATAATTATCTCAAAAATGTTTATTGAAATGAAGCTACTGTTCTTTATGGTGACATCATTTTAGCCAAATAACCAACAACCAATTGCTTCTACAGAACATTTGAAAAGAGAACATTCTTTCTTTTTTTAAAGTTTTTTAAAAAATATATTTTTATTGATTTTGTACAGAGAGGAAGGGAGAGAGATAGTTAGAAACATCGATGAGAGAGTCATCCATCAGCTGCCTCTTGCACACCCCCCACCGGGGATATGCCCGCAACCAAGGTACATGCCCTTGACTGGAATCGAACCTGGGACCTTTCAGTCCCCAAGCCGAGGCTCTATCCATTGAGCCAAACCGGTTTTGGCACATTCTTTCTTTTTGTTAATCCTCACCCAAGGATATTTTTCTAGTGATTTTTAGGGAGAGTGGAAGAGAGAGGGAAAGACAGAGAGAAACCTCGTTATGAGAGAAACACATTGATTGGTTGCCTCCTGTACCAGGGCCTGCGCAGCAGAGGAGCCTGCAACCAAGGTGCATGCCCTTGACTGGAATTGAACCCGGGACCCTCTGGTCTGTAGGCTGACGCTCTATCCACTGAGCCAAACTGGCTAGGTCAAGAAAACATTCTTGATATACTTAGCAAATAGGGGAGAGCTTGACTCTGCAAGTCAGAACTAGAGTGTTCAAATGGAGAAGTGATTGAGCAATCTGACTTTCTACTCCAGTTTGGAAATATACTTTTGAGATGCACATATAGGTAAGATAGTAAAGAAAGATATTGATAAATTTTATTTTTTTTAAAAGATGTTATAGTTTCAGTATTTGGCAGAGTTCTGGCATCAGTTAATGGCAACAATACAGTGGTGAGCATCTGCATTGTGCTGAGAGTAAATGGTGACTTGATCCTTGGTTTTAATAACAAACTTGAGGTTTAAGCTTAATTATTCCATGGAACATTTTTGAAGTGAAGGCAGATCTTTGAAAACCTTTGTTTTTAGTTATATAGAGAAAAAATAGCTTGATAAAATAAACATCTGCCTTATACTAGTAACAGGTGTGCAAAGCAGCTACTTGGGCTCTAGAGAAATACAACACAGTGCTTGTAAATCAAAGGGCAATTCAACAAGCCTTGCCAATCAAACAGATACTGGGATGAGTAGTCTCTTACCCCAAAAGCTAGAGGTCTCTTCTACGATATAAATCCATATCAAGATAAAAAATTTACAGAATAACCCCAGTCCAGCTTTAGCTAGGCAGCCATCTAACTGATGATATGACAGGGCCCACTAGCCTCTAGAGTTAGCACTTGCTACTTTGAGAGGAAAGAAAGAAATACATTAAAAATACCCATTAGAACTTATTCACATAGGGAATGGGAGAGTACAGGAGGCACACAAAGTACAGACATTTGTTTTTATTGAAGGACAGATTAACTTTCTGAACAAGTTAAGGCTCTAAAGGAAAAAAAAAAACATTCTAAATCATAACCCTAAAAAAACCATAACCCACTCTATATCAACACCTTAAAAAAAAAGACAAAGATCTTACTTCATCCTTTGGCATAAATGTCAAGTCTGTATAATCAGTATAGTCTAAACTCCAAAGGAAAAGAAAAAGGCATCCTCATTAAAATATAGTAGCCACTAACAGTGAAGAGCCAGACTTTTGCTATTGAACACAGTTTTGTGAAGCCATTTCTTTCCTTCCTTTATTAACAGGCAGAAAAACACAGATTTAAATAATCCTGATCAGGAGGTTGGGAAAGGAAGTCTTATTATGAACCAAATTTTGTTTGCCTCCCACAAAAATGAATTCACTATTTTCTTAAATTTATTTCCTAAAGCAAGTTAAATTCTCTAACAGCTTTGATTCTGCAAATAATGTCAAAGTAGCAAAATACAAGTAACTGCAACATATAAAATTATACTTCAGTAGATATGCTTTCATAATTAGATCAAGAGGCTTAAAATTATTTCTTACTAAAAAAACATATTCTAAGCCACAATTTTTCTTTCAATTATACTTTAACAAAGAAAGGAAAAATATAAAAACAAAGGAAATTGGTCTTAAAACTTTTTTTCCTTAAATAAGTGCTACTCAAGCCCAAGTTAGCTAGCAATTCACTGAGGTTAGTCTGCATATCTCAAACAACCAATTGCACTAAATTTAATTGGCTACACAGACTGATATCCAGTACGACTTTTCCTTCTTCCAATCATATAAGAGATAAAGACAACAATTATAAGGAAGCCCAAGGCCACACCCACTGCAACAGGAATAAGAAAGTTGAGGTCAGAGTCCACAGAACATTCTTCAGCTGTTAGAAAAGGACAGAAAGCAAGAAACAGAAATTAGTAAAGAATGCAATTAAGCAGAAACAAGCAAATAAGAAATAAGCATTTTGAAAGTGTATGTAGGTTAGTTTTTTAGAGCATTACCCCAATTCTCTTATTTTCTCTATATCCACTCAAAGATTTCTGAACAGCTGATCCCCTTATATCTCTCATCAGTTCATCTCAGATCACACCAAATGTCTCAGTACACAAAGGAGAAGTTAAGAAGGGGAGGAAAGTCCAAAACACAGAATTGTGTTTTCCTAACATGGGGATACTTGATGTTTAATTGTGCAATGCACTGGGGAAAAGAACTAAGACCACTGCCTGAGTATTTCCCCACTCCTTTTCTCCCTTGCCACAACTATAATAAAAGCCTAATATGCAAATTGTCCCCTTGACTGGGAGTTCGACCGCTGGCTATGATGTGCACTGACCACCAGGGGGCGGCACGGAACATGGCAGGTATCAGTGACACAGTGCTGGCAGCAGGCAGCAGTGGAGGTGCTGCTGGCCTGATGGGCTCCCGATTAGAGCAGGACCCTGGTGGGATGGTAAAGCAGGTGAGCGGGCAGCGCCAGGCCAAGACAGGTGTGAGCCAGGCCCAACAGCCCCCCAATCACTTCACAGATGGTCAGCTGCAGCGGCAGGTGGGGGGGACCCAGCCCAGATCAACGGCCCTGCAGATGGCGAGATGCAGGGTATCTGCTGAGCTTGCTCCCACTCCGCCTGCTACCCTCTCCTGGGATGCCAGGGCTTGTGCACTGGGGAAGCCCCATGCTCAGGTGCTGGGGCGCCTGTGAGGAGCCTGCCCCACACCCACATAGCCTCTTCCAGGTGATCCAGGATGCAGCCACCGGGACCACACGGGCTGATTGGGCTCCCCATGTGTTGGCAAGGAAATGGTCTGCAAGGCTGGCCAGGAGAGAGTATGCTTGCCCGCCTGGCTTCTGTGAGGCACTACTGGGAAGCCCAGAGGCCTATGCTGTGCCCCAGCCTTCAGCATCCAGCCATGCTCACCACATCTCCGGGTGGGGACTCAGGCACCATGACTCAGGTGGAGGGGGGCACACGGGGGCCCAGGAACCCAGGTGCTGCCCAGGGCCCAGAGGTCAGCTGGGCCCTGCCCTTCCATGCCAGATGCTCGCACTTTAGTCACTGGCCAGGCCTAAGGACCGAATTTCATGCACTGGGCCTCTAGTCCTATATAATAAAAGCCTAATATGCTAAGTGTCCAACCATTTGACCGTTCGACCAGTTGCTATGACATGCACTGACCACCAAAATGCAGACACTCTGACTAGTAGGTTAGCTTGCTGCTGGGGTCCAACCAATCGGGACTGGGCAAGACGGGCTAGACATGGTCCCTCCCCAGCCCTGATTGTGCACCTGTGGGATTCCTTGGCCTGGTCTGCACTCTCTTTCAATCTGGGACCCCTCAGGGGATGTCAGAGAGCCAGTTTCAGCCCAATCCCCACAGGCCAGGCCAAATGACCCCACTGGTGCATGAATTCGTGCATCAGGCCTCTAATTGAAATATAAATAAGAACTTTGTGTGAATAATAGAATTTAAATGGAAAAGGATTTAGGATTAAAAATATGCAGTATAAACTTTTCCACACATGCAATAGGTAATTAAAGGATTATATACAGTTATTTTTAGCTGAGCGGTGGCCTGGAAGAATAACAGAAGAATCCTATACATTTCAGTTCATTCCACTGGACCAACCAGAAGGCAATGTGTGCCACATAGATTTTGAGCTCTGGATTTAGACAGAACAAAGTTTGAATCTTGACTCCATCACTTACTAAATAAATTATTTAAACCTGGCCTCACTTTTCTCATCTGTAAAAGAGGGATAATGCCTATTATAAGGTATTTGAGGATTAAATCTAATTGCATTTCTAAAGCATCTGATACACATCAGGTGATCAACAAATGTTCTTTCCCTTCTGTTTTCCTCCCATGTTTGAAATGCCGTCCAAGGAGGTTTAGGTTTTGAATTAGCAAATAGAGATCAAAATAGGAGTGTTCCATTATATTATTATTATTATTATTATTGAAAAAGCAAATATTCACTGCTTTAAAAATACTTAAAATAAGTTGAGATCCTGTGTTATTTATTGGAAGTAGTACAGAAATTCAAAGTGCCCCATTCTGATCATATAATTTTAAGTTTAAATTAGTTTTACTATTCAGTGACTACATTTTACTGGGACAATTTTTTTTAAAATCAAAATCCTAATAAAGGTTTTGTTGATCACTAGATATGTAATTTCATTGAAGTTATTTCCCTTTCTGTAAAATTATAGAGTTAAGAGTAAATAATCTTTAAGGCCCTTTCCAGTATAAGTCTAATGCAATTAATAAAACATGATATTTGGTATGATTTATGATTAAATAACTTGCATTTTCCTCTAAGTTTATCTTTTCTCCTCTTGTACTTTTGTTATTCATAAAAATAAGAAAACAGTCGCTAAGATTCTGAATATATGAGTTTTAAGTAATTACGGTAGCCTTTGCTGAAAGAATTTCCTGTGTGTTATGTAAGGAAAGCTTTCAGAGACTGATAGCTGGGTACCAAAACACTATGACTGGTGAGTTACAGAAATTCTGAACAAGCAATATACACATAGAATGAATAAATAATCATTACAACGTGACAATCTTCTCAAGTCTATTGATTTAGAGTCCTTCTTGTTTTTATATTCAATATCTATGCTACACATATAACAAGGAATATGCTTCAATAGGGGTGGGTTATCTAGCCCCTATTGAAGCATTTTAATAATGCTAACAGTTTCTATTTACCCTCCATTTATGCTCTGTGCCCCAGGGACAATCATGAAGAAGCAAAAGCCTAGTTGCTATGCTTCACTGCATCCCTTCTAAGATTGCTGTTAGCTTACATTTCATAGGTACCAGTCGGATGACAACACTAAATAGATTTTAATGCTCTAGAGATCAACAAAATGAGGTACAGAAACACAACACAATCTGTCCTAATTAGTTCATAAAATATTTCTATCTTTCAATGCTAATCAGGCATCCAAAGACAAGAATAACAAGAAAAAAAAAAGGCAAGTGGTTAAATATGCTTGAATCTTTTCAATATCTATTGAGGAAAATGAAACATAAAAAAACAAACAAACAAAAACTAATTCTCAGGCCAGGTTAAGTTCTATTGTACCTTTTGGCTCTATTATTTACCTAGAAGATAAAAGTCACAAGCCTAAGAAACTGACTTCATCTGTAACTTGGACTCAAAGAAATCAACAGTCACATAATCTAAAAAATGCTGATGGCCCCGAGGACATTCAACTGAAAAGCAAGTTTGAGTATATCTAATGGACATTCATGCCACATCAATATTTAATGAACAGTATGCAAAGACGCTGAGATGAGTTTAAATCAGTATAGTTCTTATACATTGAAAGAGAATACTAGTAGTGAAATAATACTTATTAATTCTATTAAGAGACAGGTACATATTTTATTCTTATAATGACCATTTTAACAAGTTTAAGGCATTTTAGGATCAAAATTTGGCCAAAGCTTAAGACAGATCTTAAAACATTGCACACCAATGTTCTCTTTAGCAAGTTTATATTCAGGACCAGCAAAAACATTTTTTATTTTAAGCTGATCAAACATAACAGGTTTTTATTTATAAAGATTTATCTCAAAATGCTGGCACTGATTTAATAATTAATTTTAAGGAGAAAAGTGTTTCAAAATGAAGAGGCAAGAAAATTTTATGTGCATGTATTTTTATATAATCAATCAGATTGCAGGTTCTAAAACTGCTCATATCCAGTGTGATGGTGCTTGAGACCAATTAAGTAAATCAGGAACACTAGAATAAGTAATACTGCCAACGCTGCTCCCACTGCTATGGGCACAAGGAAATTGTCTTCATCTGCACTGCAGTCTCGAGCTAGATGTGGAGAAAGGAAATTGAGACAGAAAGTGACAGAACTTCAAATCTGTAAATTTTAAGTTAAAATGAGAGCACTTCTCAACACATATTTGTTTTTTACACCAAAGCAACAAGTAATTGGCATTCATTACCAACAAATGAGATGTCCCACAAAAGTGATTTTCCAAATAACAAAATCACACATTTTTAAGCACCCCCAAAATGCAGTCATTTTGGGTGGAAGTTATATAAAATGATCACATACTTCCCAGATTTCTGAAACAGAAGATAATGGATAAATATAATTAGCTTTTCCTTGATGATCATGCTGTGAGCCTTTAGAGGCAAACTGTTATGATGTTGAAGCACAGTGGAACACTGCACGTTGTGAAGTATTAATGAAATGAACCAAGTGAACAACTATACTATGCAGATCCAAGAACCCACTGCATAGCAATCTGGAGTCATTTATTAGTGGGAAAAGATGCAAACTAGCCCTGGTGGTATAACTGTCAGTCTCAAGATGATCAGTCCAGTGTGAGAATCAGACAAAAAAAATCAGTGATTATAATTTAAAAATGGACTGTGATAGAGGCAGGCCTGGAAGTGTTCAAAAGCACGTTCAACTCAGCCTTGTTACACAAGACATACTTTAAAAAGAAGTAACACTGGCCGAAACCGGTTTGGCTCAGTGGATAGACCGTCAGCCTGCGGACTGAAAGGTCCCAGGTTCGATTCTGGTCAAGGGCATGTACATTCGTTGCTGGCACATCCCCGGTAGGGGGTGTGCAAAAGGCAGCTGGTCGATGTTTCTCTCTCATCGACTTTCTACCTCTCTATCTCTCTCTCCTTTCCTCTCTGTAAAAAATCAATTATATATATATATATATATATATATATATATATATATATATATATATATATATATATATGTAACACTGGAGCTGTTTTTAAATAACCTGATGGGTAAAATAGATCCAGAGATATAGAAGCATGGAACAGGCTGATGAGTCTCAGATGGAAGACAGGGGTGGGGAGAGATGACTCAAAGAATTTGTATGCAT